ACCCCCCGCCCCCCTCAGTCTCCCGGACTTGGCCCTCCTGCCCCACTCCCTTCCTGTCCTTCAGCACCTGGGCCAGGTACTGACCCCTCTGAGGAGACTGCAGGGACCTCATCCCCCCCAGCCCATCCTCCCTGAGTGCCCAATATCCTTGCTCCACTGCTCAAAGCCATGTGCACCCCCACTTCCTTCTGGAAAGGAACCGCACACCCCCTCCCCGCTGCCTCCCCCACTCTGTTCTCTCAGCCCCACTAGATCCCCTATTCTTTCAAACGTCCCCTGCCCCCAACCCTACCAAGGGCCAAGGGGGACCCACCGGGAACCCAGAGAAGAGCCAGAGAGGGGTAGACCCAACCACCTCCCGCTCCCAAAGTGTCCACATGCAAACCCAGCAAGAGTCACCTTACCTGTCACTCCCCATACCCCAACAAGAGTCACCTTACCTGTCACTCCCCATACCCCAGCAAGGGACACCTTACCTGCAAACCCCCACACCCTAATAAGGGACATCTTACCTATCACCCCCACACTCCCCAGCAAGGGACACCTTAACTGTCACCCTCACACCCCAGCAAGGGACACCTTACCTGTCACTCCCCATACCCCAGCAAGGGACACCTTACCTGTCACTCCCCATACCCCAGCAAGGGACACCTTACCTGCAACCCCCCACACCCTAATAAGGGACATCTTACCTATCACCCCCCCACACACTCCCCAGCTAGGGACACCTTAACTGTCACCCTCACACCCCAGCAAGGGACAGCTTAACTGTCACCCCCCACACTCTCCAGCTAGGGACACCTTACCTGTCACTCCCCATACCCCAGCAAGGGACACCTTACCTGTCACTCCTCATACCCCAGCAAGGGATACCTTACCTGCAAACCTCCACCCTCACACCCCAGCAAGGGACAGCTTAACTGTCACTTACTCCCCAGCTAGGGACACCTTAACTGTCACCCTCACACCCCAGCAAGGGACAGCTTAACTGTCACCCCCCACCCTCCCCAGCTAGGGACACCTTATCTATCACCCCCCACACACCCAGCAAGGGATACCTTACCTGTCTGTCACCCCCACACCCCCCAAGCAAGGGACACCTTACCTGTAACCCACCACACCTCAGCAAGGGACACCTTACCTGCCACCCCACACATCCCAGCAAGGGACACCTTACCTGTAAACCCCCACACCCTAATAAGGAACATCTTACCTATCACTCCCCACACACCCCAGCATGGGACATCTTATCTGCCACACCCCCACACACCCCAGCAAGGAACACCTTACTTGTCACCCCACGCAGCCCAGAGAGGGAAACCTTCCCTGTCACCCCACACAGCCCAGAGAGGGACACCTTACCTGTCACCTCCCCCCACATCCCAGTGAGGGACACCTTACCTGTCACCACCTACACCCCTGCAAGGGACACCTTACCTGTCTCCCCGACACACACACCCCAGCGAGGGCCAACATCCCTGTCAACCCCTACACCCCAGCGAGGGCCACCGTCCCTGTCACCTCCTACACCCCAGCCACCTCGCTCCACAGTCAGCTGCTTAGCTGGAGGTCATCTCGTGGGAACCCGCTAGTTCCCTAGGAGCCATGGGTGCCCATGCTGAAGTGCTGCCCTGACCTCCCCTGAGTCGATTCCTCAGGTCTGGGTGCCCCCCAGACATCACGCTTGCTGTGAGCCCCGCAGAGAGCACGCCCCAGGCTGGTGCTCTAAGGGGACTGGCAGAGGTTAAGAACAAGCCCCAGGACCCCGAGAGATGGCTGGTGAGCTGTGGGGGTCTGCGCCCCGCTTCCCCTCGCTGTAGAGGGGCCAGCAACTGCGAGGGCAACCTGTGCCCCGTGTGAGGAGTCAGGGCGAGGTCTGGCATGTGGCCCGCTCTTGAGAAACACCGGGTGGAATGAACCCCGTGTAATGGCAATTGGGGCACCACCTTCTCCCCGCTTTCCTCCTGCCCCCCACCCCCACGCCGTGAGTCACATGGGAATGCGGAGTCAGACCCTCAAGGAGCCTGCACCAGGCCGCCTTCCCAGGAACTCCACATGTAAACACAGTCCCAAACAGGGGGTTGCGTGGGGGAGTGTGGGACGTGCAGGGTCACACGGTCCCCAGGCCCTTGGGACAAAGGCTCCTGGGGTGTCCTGAGAGTTAACTACTCCCTCCAGATGTGGTAGCGCTGGCGGAGCCTTCAAGAACCGGGCTGCCACCGTAATGGACACCCACAGTGGCCAGGTGCCCCCCGCCCCCTCCAAGCGTCGGATGAGCGCAATTGCCCCCAACACTGAACATACACTCTGCATCCATTCTGCACAGCCTGCGACCAGGCAGAGGCACTCAGAGCCCGGAAAGCAGGGGAAGGGGCCACCCCGGCCTCGCAGAGGCAGGAAGCTGGACTGCAAGGAGTTCTCCTAGCAAGCTGTACCACGCACATGGCAGGACAAAGGCCATTGCCCCGAAAGAGATGCCAATGACCCCCATGGCCGTAGCCCCCATCCCTCACTGCCCAGTGGGCCCGGGGTGGCCACCACGGCTGAGTGTCCCATCAGAACCCAGGGACAGCATGTTGCCTCCCTGCTCCATTCTGGGGGGCTTCCTCAGGTCCCCGGGTGTGCATGTCCATCTCCTGAGCTTGGTTCATGGGCAGCAGCCAAGACTAGGGTGCCCAGGACCTGACTGACAGGAAGCAGTCATGCCAAGGGAGCTGCTGGGACTCCAGGGAGAGCTCCCAGGCCTGGTGGGAGTCACGGCTCCCTGGGCCCAAGGCACATGAGTAGCGTCTCAGCCCATCACCAGCTGATTCCTGCAAGCCACGGAGGGCAGCTGCCCCAGGCCAGGCTAAACCAGCAGCCCCCGGCCCGGGCCGACGGGCAGCTCCTGGCACACTCCGCTTCCCCAGAGCACCCCCCACCTCCTGCACTTTGCTTCCTAATTGAGACACTGACAATGAGATGAGTTTGAGGACCGTGGGGACCAGGCAGGAGGGAAGGGCTGTCTGCAGCCTGGGCAGTGGGCAAAGCCCAGGACCCACCACCAGGCAAACAAGGAGAGCTGGCACAGCAAACATGGGGTGGGGAGAGGCACCGGGCTGACCCGGGCACCTCCCAGGTCTGCTAGGCTGGTCCCCGACCAGGCCAGGGCCGGGAAAGAGAGTAAAGTCAGAGCCCTTCGTGGGCTGGGGTCCCCAAGCTGGGGCGGGGCTTGCACCCCCATGAGTCCCGAGGTTTGTTTGCTGTCACCCACACCCCAAGTCCCCAGGCCTGTCTCCGCACAGAAACTGGCCCACCCCCAAGATGAGAGATGGGGAAGGAAGGCAGGAAACAGCAGCCAGAGCCTTCGGGACTCTGGGCCTCCACAGGGATCCTTGTTCTGCCAGCTGTGACCTTTGGCAAGTCACTTCCTGCTCCAGGCCCAGCTTTTTGGTCTGCAAAACGGTGCCCGGGTCTGGAGAATGCCGTAAGGATTCAGTGGGATGAAGGGGTAAAGCACTCAGCGCAGGGGTGACATGCCCAAGGAATGGTGGCCGTAACTATGTGCAGAATTCTCTAGAAGATCCTGGAGAGCTGCCTGCGGTCAGGGCTGGAGTTCCTCTCCCCCCAACGGCCTGTTCCGGAACACCAAGAGGTACAGCGGTAGTAAACATTCAAAGTGCAGGGAAAGGAAGGCCAGCGGCACAGAGGAAATGACACTAAGTCAGGGAAAGTGGTGACAAAATGACAGTTGTGCACTGTGTGAACCAGCCCTTCCAAGGTGGAGTATCGTTGGGAACAAAAACCGAATCGGGGCAGGTGAAGAGTGCCAGGGTATCTCCAGCACCCGTCGGGCAGGAGCGCCGAGGGCGCCTGTGGCTGGTGGCCGGGGCAGGTGGCGGGCAAGCAGGACGCGCCGTGGGCTCTGTTGGCCCAAAGCTGAGAAAAGGCCGGGAGTCTGGGAACCCAAAGGCAGAGGGTCAGGAAATGCTCCCACGACTGAAATTCTCTCTCCCTCCTCTCTCAGTGTATTTATTTCCTCCACGAGGGAGACAGAAAGTGCGCCCCCAGCTGGGTCCTTCTGCCATGACTCCTCCCCAGCCCCCGTGAGCTCAGATCACCAGCACCACGTGCCTGGCTGGTACCCGGAGGCCCTGGGACACGGACCCGAGACCTTCCATGGGGTCCAGCTAGGCTACTGCTGTGGCGCCATGCTGAAATTCTTGTCACAAGCAATGGCGGCTCCTATGTCAGGAACTTCGTTTTCAAATGTCAAAACTGGCTCTGGTTAGTTCTGGCTGGATTTCGTGAAGAACATGGGGTGGCTCACAGAATCAATGAGAGCCTGGGAGGCCAGGCAGGCTGTGTGGCTGCACCGCCTACCCCTGAGGGCTGGTTGCAGAAGTGAGGGCCTGCATCCCCTGGACACTGGCCCCAGGTGGGGACCATGCTCCTGCTGCTGGGAGGCACTTGCTCTGGGCACTTGCTCTGGGCCCGTGCTCTGGGCGAGGGGAGGGGCAGATATCATAAGGCGAGGTCCTGCCATTGCACTCCTGCTGCGGGGCTGGGCTGAGCATGGCTTCCTGGCCTCCTGGCCTTCTGAGTGCAGGAGGGCAAACTCAGAGGTCATCCACAGCCCAGGGCAGACAGCCTAGGTGCTAAGCAGTCAGAAGAAACCCAGATGTCTCTGCCACTTAGGGTTTGAGGCCTTGCCAAGGGCATTCAACATCTGAGGCAGCAGACAGCAGTGTGGACACACAGGGGCCGCCGGGGATGGGGACAGCCTGTCCCGACAGGCTCACAGGGTTGATAAAATGTTTTGCAAACAGCTGTCCAGGGGCACATGTATCTACGAGGAAGATAAAAGACTCTAGAGTTGAAAACTGACAAGACCGCTTGCACTCCTCTTTGAGGGACCAG